GAGCGCACACACACACAAATATATATATATATATATATATATATGTGTGTGTGTGTGTGTGTATACACGCACATGTACAGTAGAGGTAAAAAAAGAACCCTGTCAATTTGTTTAAATGCTGAATACAGTGTTCTTTACCTGCTGGCAGATGTAGACAGATGTGACATAGGGTTTGTAAAGGTTATAAGACACTCTAAAACTTCCCCGGCCAAAAACACAGGCCCTCGTGCCATTGATGCCACCACCTCAATCATCTGTGAAAAACAGAAAGGTTACATATATGGCACTTAATTAATGTTGATTTATATATATATATTATATATATATATATATATATTAGAACCAGCCTAAGATGTTTTTCTGGCCTCCCAGCCTGGACAAGTAGGTTTGTTGGTTTTAGAGGGGATTTCCAAACTAGGAGACCATCTAAGACCAGCAAACCAGCGTAAACTGATTTAAGATGTTTTTAACAGGGTAGAGAGTAGGTCATGCACTGTATATAATATCTTAGTTTTGAGAGATTTATATTTGAACATATTCTTATTCTTTTAAGCAGTGGCACATGTATTGAAACTACCCTCTCCTAATTAATCTGCCTCTAACAGGAAAATATGTGCGGAGTTGAACAGTAGCTACAGAGCAGCTAATATCTACGTTGAGCTGGCATCGTGCAGCTTGACAACGACGAATGTTTAGTATATTAGCAGGAAGTCCTAACGTTCTTTTATTTGTTCCCTTTACACTACCTCGAAGTTGTTTATTTTATTTCTTCCCGTCGATTTTTTTCTACTTCGTATTCCTGACCACAGAATTTAAAGGAAAAGCGTAGCAGGCGACGCTCCAGCTACTTAAAAACAAAACAACCGGAGACTATTCTTGGCCATTATAAGGTTTCCCTGAGTTTTTCCAAACGTTGTTCAAGCTACATTCATAAACACAAAAACCAACGCTGTCATGACATGGAACTAGACTTGAGAAAAATCTTCGTCATGCATATTATTTTGATTTACTCAGTAAAACATATCATGGGAAAGTATAAGATGTCATCTCTTTTTCCTAACCCCGGTATAGCGATGTCCAATTTGTGAACGAATCATTCTTATGAGTCAATTCGTTTCAATGAATCAGTTCAATTCAAGATGTTCACTGTTTGAACGATTTGTTCGCCTAGTTCAGGGGTAGGCAAGTTCGGTCCTAGAGAGCCGCAGTCCTGCAGAGTTCAGCTCCAACCCTGAAAAAAAAAAACTCACCTGCCTATAGCCTTAGTAATCCTGAAGACATTGGGCTTGTTTGAGATGAGCAAATTCTGCGCAGAATCGATCACCGCGAGATGCATGCCGGTTAGAAAAGTGTCCTACTTACCTCCGACTTGCTCTGATGTCATGCTGACGTGCAAAAAAACTCTCGCGACGGCGAGGCGGCTGTGTCAGGCAAGGCAAGGTGCATCTCAAACAAGCCTATTGATTAGCTTGTTCAGGTGTGTCTGATTAGGGTTGGAGCTGAACTCTGCAGGACTGTGGCTCTCTAGAACCGAACTTGCCTACCCCTGGCCTAGTCCAAATGACTGAGAGCTCAGAAGCTGATAATAAAAACTTCATGAATAAACAGACCGAGAATTATAATTCCAAAAGCAAGTTTAGATAACCTAATTTGCATTTACATTAAGAGGTACTTAAATGTATGTATAGTTCTTGGCAGAAAATAATATTTTTCACATTTTAACAAAAATGCCATCGTTAAAACCAATGACCAGGGCCGTTTCTAGCCAATTTGACGCCCTAGGCGAAATCCCTATTGCCCCTATATATATATATATATTTATATATATAATTAAAGCTTTATCAGTGGCATAAAAGTAACCAATGCAGCTACTTAATCATTTGCTACTCGTTAACTTACCCTTTAAATAACGTGACGCTCTGCTCTCTATGACGCTGCTCCCCGTTAAGCGCTGTTGGAAGTGAATGAATTCAGCATTTTGACACCTCCGTAAGAATGCATTTAACTCGACAAAGCGGTCTAATAACTCTAGCCCAATAATGTTGGGGGATCCAGTGGGGGCGGCAGTCATATTTCAGGGTGACCGTGCCACTCTTTATCACAACCCTGCTAAAAGTGCCAGTACGTGCGCCCCTTCAGCTGGTGGCACCCTAGGCGATCGCCTAGCTCGTCTATGCCTAGAAACGGCCCTGCCAATGACTAACAAATCTTTTTAAATATGTTAATAATAACATTTTAATAACATAATAAACAGTGATATGTGTTTAACATATGGCTTTACTTGAAAGTTTAGACTAAAGCACGTAATATACCAGGTAAGCAAAAATTACGACTTAAACCGATTTACTGAATCGCTTTTGAAACGATTCTTTAACATGAACTGCTCAAAAGAACCGATTCTAATAAACGAGTAGGCTTGTTCGAGAAGCGTCGGCGCTGCGCAACCGATCGGCGTATGACATCAAAGTACCGCGAGAGCGATTCAAAAGCTTAAAGAGTCGTCTGCTCTCCAATCACTCTCGCGGTACTTTGATGTCATACTCCGATCGGTTGCGCGGCGCCGATGCAAAAATGACGTAAAAGTCCCATCCAAAATCACAACGGGGGTGGTACGGTTTCCTCTGAAGAAAATAGTTAAGGAAAGTGTAACGTTTAATAGTTTAAATAGCCAAGAGGTGGCTTATAAGAGAAAACAGATGCAGGAAAAGGTTTGTGTTTCTTTGGAAAATACTGAAATGACGACACTCTTTTGTTCGGTACTTCCCCGAGAGTGAGCTCATTGGTATAAGCCAACAGAAGGCCCTCCTGTAGTACTGCTCCCGCAGTGGGAAATTGATCTCTGACTTCGACTAGTTCATCTTTAAGAGATCGCGATGTGCTGTTCTGCATAAGAAAATGCGTTCTTTACTTAAGGAAACATATAAATGCTGTATACATGCTTTTCGTCTCTAAAACTTAGCTTTTGCTGTTCACTTTGAAAAAATTTCCCAAGATCCAACCGCAACAAGGTGGATCAGCGCGCACCGGGACACCGGATGGGCTCTGCTGACAGTCATGCTGTAGAGCGTCAAAACAAGTGCATCTCTCGCCGCTGACACACAGACCCCAGGGTGGAGGCAAGGGTAAGAGAGATTGACACTCCTCTGATGGACTGCGTGGATGCATAGACATAAGCAATGACATAAGTAGCCAGACGTTTAGAGTGTGGCTATGAGAAAGGGTGTAAACGCATATTGGACATTATTACATCATGTCTTTCATTAGATATGTCTTACCGAAGCGTGATTCTGTAATGGTGCTGTATTTTTCAAAATAGGGCAGAATATGAAGTATTACTTATTTAAGGCAAAAGGACAGCAAAAGTGTTTGACTTTTAACATGATGGTCGTCTGTCTGAGAAGTTAGGCTTATTAATTTCTATAGAATTATTATTATTATTTATTAGCTGTATGTGAGTTTACATTTTTTGCAGCACTGATCAGTGTTTGGGACATGTCTAAATAAAGTTTAAAACCATAATTTGTGTAATTTATGCATAAAATATTTTTACAATTTATATTTAAAATTGTAAATAAAATATTATATGAAAACAAATGGATTGGAAACAGAAAACTACACCAGAATGGAAACGGTTACAAAATAAGGAGGAAATCATGGATTTAGTATTCGACAGGGGCAAATTAAAACCATAATTTGTGTAATTTATGCATAAAATATTTTTACAATTTATATTTAAAATTGTAAATAAAATATTATATGAAAACAAATGGATTGGAAACAGAAAACTACACCAGAATGGAAACAGGGTTACAAAATAAGGAGGAAATCATGGATTTAGTATTCGACATGGGCAAATATATTTTTGTTGTTGTTAATTTAAATAATTATTATTATTATTATTCTGTTGTTTTATTTCAGTGCAAATACATTGAATTTCAGTGCAGTAGATTAAGTGCAGTGAAAAATGTCTTGATGTGGGATAGGCTGGGGATGTACAGATATCTTATTTGTTTGGCCAAATTAATTCTACCATACAGAAAAAATGATAGGTTAGATTTGCCTGGACCAGGGGTGAAATGAAGGAAAGGGCAAGCTATTGTTATTTAATTAAAAGGAAAAGGATCAGGCTACATCTCCAGCCTGTGGTTGTTTCTGGTAACTGAACTCTGCCGCTCCGTCACCGTGGTGACAGGTGAACTTTGCGTTCGTATGTAGATTACCTGCCCATGCATGCAGATCAGTCTCAACTCTTGCTTGCACAACACAGTAGGCAAGATGTCATTTTTCAAACCATGTGTCTTTAAGGTGATCTGTTGATTTAGCCTTAAAACAAAGGAAATATCCTATATGCATTAACAATTTTTTCTATTTTGTCTTTTTTCAGAGGATTTAGGGAGCCGATTTTTACAGTTTTGGTTTGGACTGGTGATCCAACAGCTCTACTATGGATTTAAATGACAGCACGTCTCTGGCTGAGCTGATGAGCCGGTATGTGTCTACAGAAACAGGATTTGGTGTCCCCAAGGATGGCTGGCGGATATGTCTGGCACACGAGTTCAAAGAGAAGCGGAAACCATTTCAAGCCAGAGATGTCTCATTGTCCAACATGATCGAGCATGTTTCTTTAGGGGTCAGGTATGTTTAACAAATCATATTTCAATAGAAGAGCCCCAGATTCACTTGGTCATTCATTTATTAGTCCTCACGTCATCTACAGCAAACGCAGTTACTAAAGAATAGAATTTGTTCACATCAAAAGCTGCCGAAATAGACCATTTTGCACATCTCAGTGGTGTTTTGCTCTTTACCAATGTTTGGTTGAAACGAGAACAGGAAATATTGTTCAGTGGTTATATTTTGACCTCAGACGGACATGTCTTCATTCCCTTCTTCTGCTAAACCCTTCTCCGCTTGGTTCTTAGCAGCATCATTTAGTCAACCAGTGTTTCATGGTTACTGATAACATCTTCATAAAAAAGGACCGCTCATTGTGTTTACAGCATCTCACATACTAGTTAAACCAGAAATCTGAGCACATGGATCATTTGTGGGTTACCTGCAGGCACGTTGCAGGCTTGTGTAGCAAGTGTATTTACCTGGATCAGGTGGGGCTGTTTTTCCTCTCTTAACTAGTTAGACTGTTACACAATAACTAATACATTTCAATGCACTTTCTTCCTTTGTATGGACCTTTGGATGTTCCTGCTATAATATATAAACAGCTTGATGGCTGTTGGCCTGGGTAGATTCTGGATTTTGTTGTTGTAATTATGTATTAATTAACTATTAATTTATCTCCAACATAACACTACAGCTGCATGGAATTTATCCGCTGAGGCTGGTTAATCAGTGTCGATATCAGTCAATATTGACCCTGTGTGCGGTTTTATTTTACATTAATGATTGACACAACTGTCATGAGTTTTATAAATCTTTATTGTACGTTCCCATTTACACAATCAGTCCTCTGGTGTGTATGTGAATACTGTATTCATGTTGCTCAACCTTCACCACACTTGACTGATTACTCACTAGCATACATACAGCATAGAACAATGACTAGCATCTATATGCAGTCATGCATTGAAACCCTCCATAGTAGGTGAACGTTGCACTTTTTTAATGTGAAAAAATGATATAATATTTTTGTAATAAAGGAAAATTCATAAAACAATTAATACAAAGTAAACCACTTGCCAAGTGATCAATCCATAACAACATGTCAGAAAAAAAATCCAGGTCATAAATAAAACATAAATGAAAGAAAGAAAGAACTAATAATAAATATATAAATAAAATAATCAATCAGTCAGCAAGTTGGGAGAGATCAAAGATGCACTTTTCAGACAGATGTGTGATAGAATATAATATATTATTCCTTCTGTTGTGCTGGAGATTTTGATTGGGAAAAACATGATCAGTACAAAAAGTGATTTTTATCCAGTTCCCAGCTTTTTCAGCCTATCCCATAATGCCATCTGCCCTTTTGTGTTTGTGTGAATCAGTCTCTGTTTCTAGGCGCTCTTGTGCTGAGTGCAACAAGACTGAAAACAGCTGCGTGTGCATTATAGCGAGGAGAATGAGTGAGACAGAAAAGAATGAGTTGGATGGAGTGGTTTGAGAGTGACTAAAGGGAAATGTATGTACAGTATATGTGAAAGAGAGGTTCATTATTAGAACTAACGTTGTTGTGAAGCTATAAATACCTTTTTAAGAAGTCAAAGTGTGATTTTTGCCCATAGATACATGCCAGTATATTGAACACAACCCTGTTACCCATCTTCACTGTTCATCAGTACCAGTTCGTGTCTATATCTGTGTATGACCGAGAAAAAGGTCAGTTTAGTGAATTCCTCCTTGCTTTGTCTGAGCAGGTATCTGAGATGGTGGTACAGAAAGACACAGGTTGAAAAGAAGGCTCCTTTTATTGATATGTTTCGGGCTTTACCACTAAGACAGATTTATGGTAAGTGCAAAGACAAACAGAAACATCAAAGCAACAACAGAACTCTTAAAATGACCCAGTGTGACAGAGGACACATTTTGTGCAGGTGCTCCTCTTGGTGGCATTGGTGGAGGCAGTATCACGCGTGGATGGAGGGGCGATTTCTGCCGGTGGCAACTAAATCCTGGAATGTACCACTACAAAACCGTTATTGCTAACCAGGTAAAGAACTGGTGTGATCCAATAAAATACCTAAAAAGTATCCATACTACTGTTCAAAAAGTTTGGGTCAGTAAGATTTGTTTTCTTAAATAAATGATTACTTTTATTTAGCAAGGTCACATTAAATTCTTTTGAACTTACTATTCAACAAATAATCTAAAATTATTTAATCTAATTAAATAATATAAATATGTATCACGATATCCACCAAAATATTAAGCAGCACAACTGTTTTCAACATTAATAATAATGTTTTTGAGCACCAAATCAGCATATTAGAATGATTTCTGAAGGATCATGTGACACTGAAGACTGGAGTAATGGCTGCTGAAAATTCAGCTTTGCCATCAGAGGAATAAATTACATTTTATAAATATATTAAAATACAAAACACTTGTTTAAATTGTAGTAATATTTCACAATATTACAGTTTTTACTGTACTTTTTTTAATCAAATAAATGCAGCCTTTGTGAGACCATTTAGAAAATCTTACCAACCCCAAACATTTGACCGGTAGTGTTTAGTATCTTTGTGACTCACTTTGACAAATTAGTAACTCAGTTAGTGTGTTGGTATGTATAACACCGTTACGGGCAAGTGTGTGTTGTTATATATGCAGGTGTTCCGATCTCTCCTCCACCTAGTTTAAGTCTATTTTAACCCCCTCTATCTCCTAGTTTACAGTGTGTCTGCGCAGGGGGGGTCAGACAGTTTATCAGCAGGTGTTGTCTATGGATCGACCCCCGACTCTTCAGGATTGGAACTGGGGTTATTGTGGTGAATACGCCTTTTACCATGCTCTGTACCCACGATCCTGGACCGTCTACCACCTGCCTGGCCAGAATGTCACTCTCACCTGTAGGCAGGTGTCACCTGTCATTCCTCATGACTACAAGGTGACAAGCTGACTTTGACATCACATGAATAAATTGCATTTTAAAATATATTAAAGATGTGATAAGTTATTTAAAATTGTAACAATATTTCAAAATATTACTGTTTTTACTGTATCAATCTTGGTGAGCTTAAGAGACTCCTTTAAAAAATCTCCTTAACAAAATCTCACCACTTTTGAACAGTAGTTTTACCTGTATGTATTGTTGTGCTCTCGTCTGTAACGTTAGTTTATCAGTGTCCGTGGTGCGGACACTGCATGAGGGCATCTTACATTTACAGTCTGTCCTAACACCATTCCTGATGAAGCCTGAAGAGCTAGATGAACTGCCTGCACTGCTCTAAGACACGGGCCCATTCCTTGAGCGACTATGTCAAGTTTACCAGAATAGTAATGAATTGGGCGTAAACTGCCCCCATGATCTTGCATTAGACATGCAGTCATAAAGCCTAAGTGTTCATGTACATAAAGCACAAAGGGCCTATCAGATTGTGCAATTCCTAATGCTGGTGCTTGACATAGTGCTCTCTTCAAATCATTGAAAGCTTTGAGATGAATTTCTTCCAAACAAACAGTATCGGAATCTTTAACCTGGCTTTTCAACAAGTCATAGAGAGACTGAGCAATTGAGGCATATCCTTCAATCCAAGGTCTACAGTAACCTGCTGTTCCTAAAAATGATCAAGGCGTTCAATACACTGTTCCACATCTTCACCAAAGATGATTATGTCATCCAGGTATATCAGCAAAGTTTCCCACTGCAACCCTCGTAGAACCAACTTCATGGCCCTCTGGAAGGTGCTGGGTGCGTTACACAACCCAAATGGCATTCTGGTGTACTCATATAATCCATACCTTGTCACAAAAGCAGTCTTGGATCTGTCTTTTTTATTAATTTCAATCTGCCAGTACCCTGACTGAAGGTCAAGTGTTGAGAATGTCTTCGCACCACCCAGCACATCCAGGCATTCCTCTATTTTTGGTAGGGGATACGCATCCTTAATGGTAAGCTCATTAAGCTGGCGATAATCTACGCACCAGCGGACCCCGCCATCTTTATTCCTTACGAGGACGATAGGGGATGCCCATTCTGTTGTCACAGTATTTGCAGGGGGACTTGTAGATGGACTGGGGGACCGTGAGCAGTTTCTTTTGTAATGTCCCTCCTCCCCACACTGAAAACATGGCCCACTAGCCTCTCTGGTGGGGCTGTTATTCTGCGGTCTATATCTGTTTGACTTAAAAGAAGTCTGAGCTGTGCATCCCCTTTCTGACTGGACTGCCATACTGGAATTTGTCTGGTGGGTGGGTCTTAACGTAGAAGGGAGAACAACAGAAGAGGGAGGAGGTATCAGCAGCAAAAAGTTGTTCAGCATCTGAAGGCCCTGTTGCATCTCTGTTTGTCACAAGGGTTCTATCTGGGGCAGATGAAAGTGTGGTAATGGTAATGTTACCATGTGGGTGTGGACCACGTGTCACCTTGTTGGCATGGGGCTGCTGCGTGAGAGCTAACAAACAAGTCTCTGTTGCTTCCAGTCTTTGGAGCAGAGGTGAAATGGCATTTTGGAGTTGTGTATTTTGTTGTGACAGCACAGCCTGTAGCCAGTGTGGGGGGTCTGGGGCAGCTGATGCTCCAAGTGAGACTTCCGGATCAGTTGAATCCATTTTGTACAACAATTGAGAGTGACACTGCTCCAACTCTTAATTTCGTTGAGTTAATGTTTTATTTATAATATTTATTTATTAATATGGAAGTATATTCTGCTCTGTGAGTTGAAAAGTAACTTTTCAAGGCTGTATGGTAGTGTATGTGAAACTTGGCAGGCAGCCAAAAGCAGCGTTTGATTTGGCAGCCTTCCAGCCCCACGCCTCTCTGCTGGGGGAGGGGAATTCCCTGCTGCTTTTATCTCCGTGAAATAACGGTTAATGCGCCGAATAAACTTGTCAATCAGTCCTTAATACTACTTCACAACGGCGTTTTGCAGATTATAATGTCCATAGAATCACAAGGGATGTCCCAGCATTTCATAACACTCACAATTCACTGATGATTTTCTCTCGCGCTCAACTTCTGACACCACTTGTTGTGCTCTCGTCTGTAACGTTAGTTTATCAGTGTCCGTGGAGGCATGAAGAGAAGCACACCACAAAGATAATCCGTTGCATGAACTTTACTTAGTAAAGCATAACTTTACAACAGCGGGGTTTATGCTCTTGCCCAGTGCTGATGGTTTGACTACAACCATCTGCACCGGAGCCTGCGAGCATACTGACGCTAAACATAAAACCTGTAAACTAGTCCCCGTGTAATGACGTAACAGCATCTAATTGGACAATACAGAACTCATTATTAGTATATATAACATAACTGTAACTCAGCTTATATTTAGTTAACTAACACTATAACAGTATATTTTTAATCCACCAGACTTGCAGTTTCAAAACTAATCTTTTTCTATTTTTTTCAGGACTCCAGTCTTCCAGTAGCTGTGTTTGTGTGGGACATTGAGAATAAGAATGATTATGCACTTGATGTTTCCATCATGTTCACGATGGTTAATGGGTCGGGCCATAAAGACGATAAGAGTGGGGGCCACTGGAATGAACCATTTCACCTTGAAAAAGACGGAGAATCTGTGTCTGGGGTGTTACTACATCACCAGACGCCTGTCAACCCTTACACTCTGTGCATAGCTGCAAGAGAAAAGGTAATGTAAATGTTGAAGCAGCAGGTTTTGCCTGTAGTAAATTCATGAAAACAACTCCTCTGTCAGGAGGAGTGCACACTGCACTGACAAAACCACTCAGCCTAACAGGTTTCACCATCACACGGCTGTACTGTGAGAGCTCCTGTTTCTCTGTGCAAATAAGAGCATTATAATGGTGACTGACTGCTGTGGTTCGCCACAATAAACTATGGAAAGAAACAGCTAATATCATGTAAAGCATGTAAGTGCTTCTCAAATGTTTTATTGAGAAAAAGACTTTAAAGACAGCTTAAACTGTTGATTAAAGATCCAAAATGTATTTCTTTTGTCTGTGGAAAAGATATCTTGATGAATTCAGTGTTGTTTTGGACCCCACTGACTTAAATTTTATGGACAAAAATGGTTAAAACATTCTTCAGATAATCTACTTTTATGTTCCACTGAAGAAAGAATGTCATACAGGTTTGGAATGACATAAGGGTGAGTAGCTAAGTGATGACAGAATGAATTTTTTTTTTAGTGAATTATTCCTTCAAATCTGTCTAGGTGGACAGCTCACTAGGTTTTGAGACAGAGCTGTTGTTCTTCCTCTCTTTATTTAAAGTTTCACTTTATTTTAGTCTGGCCAAGAGATCAGTCACCAGACGGCGTTCAGCCCGAAGGGAACCTGTAGTACTCTGTGGAGTGACCTCATGACTGATGGACGACTCGACTCACCTAAGGACTCCAGCCCTCCCACACATAAAGGGGAGGAAGTGGCGGCAGCTCTGGCTGTGAGCTGCTCGGTGCCTGCTAACAATCACAACAGTGTGGAGTTCAGTTTGGCCTGGGATATGCCTAAAATCACATTTGGTTCCAGAGAGAGAATATATGTCAGGTATGTGAATATGCAGAATAGGACAAATGAAAAATCCCTTCATTTCATAGAGATTATAAATACATCACAGTCATGATTCATGATTTGATACTTGCTGGTTGGTTGTTAGTGGGAGGGACATTCTCACTCTAGAGCACATTTGATTGGACAAAAAATCTGTGTAGAGCAACATGAATCATCAATATTTTGGCCTGTTTTCAGAGAAGTGAATAGTTGTTCATTTTTAATGCGAACAGCATGAAAAGTTGTGCAGGGGAGATTTGTCTCGGTTCAGTGAATCCAGATGAATTAGACCATGATGTATAAATATTTCAACAATTTAAAAAAATTATTATCAATGACATTATTATCTTTATTTGTTCTTTTGTCTAATCTTTTTTCATTCTCTTTGTACACATTATGGATCAGGTTACCCTCATCTTTGTTTTCTTTAGTATGTGTGTAAAACATTTTTGTGTCTTTTAATGTATATACACTACTGTTCAGAAGTGCTTTCCTTTCTTTTTTAAAGAAATTAATACATTTATTCAGCAAGGATGCATTAAATTCTATTTCTGATAAATGCTGTTCTTTTGGACTTTCTGTTGATCAAAGAATCATGGAAAAATGTATCAAAGTTTCTACAAAAACATTAAGCAGCACAACTGTTTTCAACATTGATAGAATCAGCATATTAGAATGATTTCTGAAGGATCATGAGATACTGAAGACTGGAGTAATGGCTGCTGAAAATTCTGCTTTGCCATCACAGGAATTAATAACATTGTAAAATATATTAAAACATACAATTGTAAAATGTTAAATTGTAATAATATTTCACTATATTACCATTTCAAATGCAGCATAAGTGACTTAATTCAAAAATATGAACAACATTTCAAACAATTTATTTGACTCCAAGCTTTTGAACGGTAGTGTATGTCCCTTTATAGTCCCAAATGCTGATAAAAATGACTGTTAACAGATACATTCATTATTGATTTACAGTTGTTTTGATATCTGAGATATCTTTAAGGTCTTAAAAAGATCTAATGGCTTAAAAAAGAGACAAACAATTTGATATGCCTTGCCATACTTCCTGTTTCAATAGGAAACAGTGCTTTCATGCAATTTCATGCATTTAATTTTTTTTAAAGGAAGTGGTGTGGCTGTGATAAATAAAAAGTACTCTTTACAAGCTCCATAAGAGATTCATCAACAGTCATAAAGTTCAGCACACATGAGGACAATCTTAAAAGGCTACAGTTTGTGGCTCTTACATATTCGTATTAGAGCAGCAATGCTAATTTGTTTAATCTCAGAGAATCCAGGAGACAGTGATGCATAAATACTACTAATTAAAAAATGTCATTATTTTAGTTTGCATTACGTTAATGAGGACGAGACTTTACTGCATTACATTAATGGGAATTGGGGGAAATGTGCTTAATTGTTATATAGAGATCTTAATGGTCCTAGAAATATGCTTTGTTTTGTTTATGGACTATATAATTGCATTTGAAATGATGAATTAATACCCTTTGATGCTATGAAATAATAACATTGTTTGTGTGGTGTTTGTTTCAGGAGATACACACGTTATTATGGCACCAAAGGAGATGCTGCCCCATCTCTGTCTCACTATGCACTCACACACTACAGTAAATGGGAGGAGAGCATTGATGAGTGGCAGAGGCCGATTCTACAGGACGGGTAAAAAGAAATGTCATTTTCCCATGAAAAATATCAAGCTTGAGGGCACAACAGCCTGTCCTATAGGTTAATCAAGTTGTCTGTGGCTGATTTGTGTGACTGTTATTTATGGAGATTGATTGGTTATAACGAGAACATGCTACGATTGGTCAGTGAAGTGTGGCTGCTATCTGATTGGCTTGAGTAGACGGTGGGTGGAGACCATGCATTTGTGGATTGTCAGCGTCTTGATGCTAGAAATGTGTCAAAATCCACAAATGCACAGAAAGCCATTCACAAATGTACAGGGAGTGATCCACAAATGCGTGCAGCAATCTACAAATGCACAGGACGCGATTCACAAATGAATGCCAGGCAAAGTTGTGTTTGTGACATAAAAAGATATTTGTGAATATGTTTTTTATTTGCAAATCTCATTTGATTTATTTGTGAATTTAATTCATGTTTGTGAATCACTAAGATTTATTTGTGTATCTTATTCTATTTATTTGTCAGTGTTTCATTTTTGTTAATCTCTTTACATGTATTTGTAATAATCTATTTATTTGGAATTATGCAACAATTCTATCTCCATAGTTATTCATCCAAAAGACTGTGTAAGCAAGCAGTCATCCTTCCTGTAAATTGATTCGACTACTTATTTAAATGAACAGGAGTCATCATGGATTTATCCATTATGTGCATAGACACTAAAATACAGAATTAATTGTGTGTGTTTTGAGCGGTATTGGCCCAGTCACATGCAACATACTAATTCTAAGTGTCCACGTATTGTTTCAACATAAGGCAGCTATTCTTTTCAGTTGCTCGGCTGATTAATCTGTTGGTATTTGGCCATTTTGAGAATAGGAGTATAGGTGATATCCATTGCCAGCTTGGCAAATTTCTTTGTTGTGTCTTTTTTTTAATTTTTATTTACTGACAGCTTTGTCATTGGACAAACCACATTTTCTGTTGTTGTTGTTGTTGTTTTTATATTATTATTATTGTGTGAAATAAATGTTCACTTAATTTATTTCAGCATCCATTTTGTGTATGTTTCACTACCGGTAGACTTAAACACTGTGTTGTTCTAGGTCTCTTCCGGCTTGGTATAAGTCCGCTCTGTTTAATGAGCTGTACTTCGTTGTGGATGGTGGAACTGTGTGGGTGGAGCTTCCAGAGGACGCTGACATCAGCGGTGGGCTTCGTCCTGAGGATGGAGGGCTTCCAGCCCAGCCTGACGTTGTCAAGGAGTATGGCCGATTCGCTTACCTAGAGGGTAACATTCAACATTAACTTAACATGTAAACTAAGTTTAGGATTTATTTAGAAAAGGTTTATAACGTTTGATTTGGGTATATAATTAATAAACACACCATGTCTAAAAATACATGCCGAAAAATTATATTTATATACTATTATAGTGTTCATTAATGTTTTGAATTAGTTTTTATTTACAGCTTGTATTTTCAGTTTTAATTTTAGTTTATGTTTTAGTAATTTTGTTATGTAATTTTTATTATTTTTTTTTATTATTTCTTTAAAGTTTTATTTTATTTTATATCACTTTTTTTTAATACTTAAACTAAAAGTAGTTTATTTCTGTTAGTTACCAAGGCAATATATTCTAATTTTTTTTTTTTTCTAATATTTATATTTTATTTTATTTAATTGAATTACTGCATTACTGAGAGTAAATCTGTTTGCTCTAGTAATCAGTGTTATTTTAGTAGTATTTATATACTATTATAGTGTTCATTAATGTTTGGAATTAGCTTTTATTTTTTTATTTTCAGTTTTAATTTTAGTTTCTGTTTTAGTAATTTTGTTATGTGATTTTTATTAGTTTTTGTTTTTCTACATTTCCATAAAGTTTTAATTTATTTGATATCACTTTGAGTAATTTTAGTAAATAAACTAAAAGACGTTTATTTCTGTTAGTTGCCAAGGCAACATTTTCAAATTTTTTAATTTTACACTTTTCTTCTAATATTTGTATTTTACTTAATTTCAGTTTTATTTCACTGAAAATTAATTTTAAGAGTTTTAGTTTAAGGTTAAAATTACACTTTAGATCTTATTTCATTATACTCTAAATGTTCATTAAAGTTTAATCCCGGGTGATAAATAAATTGTGTCTCTCACTCCAGGCCAGGAGTACAGGATGTATAACACATATGACGTGCACTTCTATGCTTCATTCGCTCTCATCATGCTCTGGCCCAAGCTGGCTCTGAGTGTGCAGTATGATATTGGTGAGCTGAGCTTCCATTTGAACACAGTATTTAAATTGATTACTAATCATTTATTTTTGATATTTTGTGTTTTAAATTCATTTGCTGATACTTTCTCATACTGTTTTGCATTCTCTGTTTGTTTAATTATACTCTTTTTTTTTTTTTTCTCTCTCTCTCTCTCTCTCTCTCTTTTATATTCAGCTGGTAGTGTGGTTCAGCATGACCCTACAGAGAGGTTAAATCTAATGAATGGCCGATACTCACCAGTCAAGACCTGGGGCGTTGTACCTCACGACATTGGAGACCCTGGTAAGTTGTGCATAATAGGATACCATGACGCATGCCACATGTTCTAAATATAGAAAGAGAGTTCACCTAAAATGGAAATTGTCATCATCTTGAACCCCATATTTTTTCTTGTGGAAGAAAATGAGATTTTAGCATAATGTTAAATTATGAGAAGCACATTTGAATGGTTAAATTGTTGCGACCATATCCCTTTTTTTTTTTTGAAACTGATTCACCTCATTCTGTTAATATGTCAGTAAAACCTAAATATAATCTCACATGTCTTGTGGAGCGCTTTCAGAGTATGCATTTATTTGTCATTTTATCTGTTTGGAAACGGAGTGTAAATGTGGAAGTCCTTCAAAGATTTCTTATCCTGTTGCGCCCTCTGTAGGGCCAGCGACTAGTCAACGTCAAGCTTAAAGCGTTATGTGATTTTTATTAGTTTTTGTTTTTCTATATTCAACCCCTAATATATATATATATATATACAGTATATATATATATATTCAAATTTATCAGAATATACATTTTATTATTATTTTATGTTTTTATGTTTAAGTTGTATATTAAAATGCTGTATAATGACATAAGTTATGTTATGTCTTGAGTAACACCATCCCTGTGTTTCTGGTCTTCCAGTGCTTACTGTGGTGGCCTGTGGCTGGCGTCAGTGTGCATGATGTGTAAAATGGCACGTGTGCTGAAATGCGAGTCTGTTTATCAACGCTACAGAGATATTTTAGAGAGAGGAAGAGCAGCCTTTGACAAACTCCTGTGGAATGGTGTGTAAGCATACACAGTGCCGAAAAACAATTGTTTTCAAAAACCACATTCAACAAACACATTCAATTTAATGCATTAATTTTTCACCCTGTGAAGTGTCTTTCTTCTTCTCTAATAGGCAAATACTACAACTACGACAGCAGTGGACAGAGCCTGTCTAACAGTGTAATGTCGGACCAGTGTGCAGGCCAGTGGTTTCTCAGGGCGTCTGGACTTGGGGAAGATGACTACCAAGTCAGTATTAAAAACATTTTACAAGCATGTTTTAATATAATCAACATTTGGTTGTATTTTAAAAATGTAACTTATTATTCCTGTGATGGCAAGCTCAATCTTCAGCAACCATTACTTCAGTCTTCAATGTTACATGGCCTTTCAGAAATTATTCTAATATGCTGATTTGGTGTTCAAGAAACATTTATTATTATTATTATCATCATCACAGTTGGAAATGGTTGTGCTGCTTAATGAAGTGTGATGAAGAGATACAGTTCTTCAGTTTCAGGATTCTTTGATGAGTAGATACTTTGAAGAACAACAGTCTTTTGTAACATAAATGTATTTACTGTCATTTTAACCAATTTAATGCATACTTTCTGTATAAAATTATAAATTTCTTTCAAAAAATGTTTAAAAATGTATATTGAAATTAATGTGAATTGCTATAGAAATATTGTTCATTGTTAGTTCATGATACCTAATGGTAGTGAATGAAACCTTACTGTAAAGTGTTACAAATAAAAAAACATTTTATTACATTGCTTTAGCATGGGTGACTCACACTCCAGAGGGGGTCAGTGTTCTAGAGGAAGAGTAGACTATCCTGGATGGAAACTAACATGGATTTTTTTCTTCATTCATTTCTGTATGCAGGCTTTTCCCAAGGAGAAAATCTGTAGCGCATTGAAGTCTGTGTTCGACCTCAACGTTATGAGCTTTGCAGGCGGGCAGATGGGTGCGGTGAATGGGATGAGGCCAGAGGGCGTGCCTGACCGTTCCAGTGTCCAATCAGATGAGGTGTGGGTGGGAGTAGTGTACGGATTAGCAGCTACAATGATACATGAGGTAATCAAACCTCAGATCATATCACCAGGTTCCAGATGAAATGACTCTATTAATTAACACCTAATACATCCCACTGTCTTTTTTTCCAGGGCATGATAGAAGAGGGAATGCACACTACGGAAGGCTGTTACCGTGCTGTATGGGAACGAATGGGAATGGCCTTTCAGACTCCTGAAGCATACTGTGAGAAAGGCATTTACCGCTCTCTTGCTTATATGAGGCCTCTGAGCATCTGGGCAATTCAGCTTGCACTAAACAATCGACCAAACCACAACAAAACCACTGATAAAGATGTGGGCCAGGGCTGAGCTGGAGCTTTATAAATATGCTGGAGGAAACTTGCACTGTCGAGCCTCCGTAATGAAGTGACCTCTTAATCCTCGTTTTAAAAGACTGCAAAAGGACTTTAGATACAATGTCATCATGGGCTGTTGGTTCACACAGAACCTTCATTTCCAATTATTTTGTAAAACTGGCATTTCCACTGAAAATGTGCATAAGCTTTTCCACAGTCCTTTTTTGTTGCAGCTGTAAATCATAGTTTTACAAGTGGGAGTGTAAAGGCTTGGTTGCAGTGAAATGACAGACTGTTCATTATGATATTGGGAGTAGGGTCATTGATCTTTGTGAATCAAGTAGTTAGAGCATGATTCTAAATAATTTTCACTGTATATTTCTATTATTGGAATGGCCTGTTGAGTACTTGAAGAAAGAACTGCTGTTTTTTTTTGGTTTTTTTATAAATATTTGTCCTCGTATGTGTCATAAAGCATCTATCTGAGGCTTCGAGAAGTCAGTACTGTACACTATTATACAGAATTGTAATAGAGATATAATTAAGTAAATTGGAATGAATGTATACTGCCATCAGATTATTATTATTTTTTTTTTTCCTCAGATGCATCATAAAGCATTTATTTTATCTGCTATATGCTGGTGTTACTGTAAGGAAATGGTATAAAACCCACAACCCTGAGATGCTTAACAGGCATGCCAGGCTAAAGTGTGTGATTTAAATCACTGACTGAAAGTGAATTGCCCTCCAAGGCTGCATTTATTTGATCAAAAATACAGTAAAAACTGAAAATGTTTTAAATAACTTTCGATTTTAATATATTTTAAAATGTAGTTCATTCCTGTGCAGGCATCAATTGCAGTGACATTGTCCTGTTTTGTGCCCCTCAAAAGGCCTTTCATAACTTTCTAGGACGTTAAAGTGTTATATATGTCTATGTAGGTGTAGAAACATCCTAGGCTCATAAGCCTAGGAGTGCTATTCATTATTAAGCCAACTAACTTGTGAAAGCTTGTAAGACTGATCAAATTACTGAATAATAGGTCTTGTCATATGCATTTTCAAATTATGACTGGGAACCCAAGCTATAATTCTTAGAGTACAACCCATTTAATGATTCCTAGGGTGTGCATCTAGCAGCAATATAAGTAGTATAAAGACCAATAATAAGTTCAAATATCCAAAAGTAAATCGTGGATCGGAATGCATGGGAACCATCACTATCATGACATAATCATGCTTTCATGACACCAGTGTAGAAAAGCACTATTGCTGGTGTTTTGGGCATCAGCCACTAGAGGACTATCTTGAGCCTCTGTTTCCATCAGTTTCCACAGATCTCTGTAGTGTGCTCCTTCAGTCCTGAGTGCTTCATCTCTCTGGAGTGCTAGATGGGCGTCTAAAGTGCACACTTGGTTTTTTTTTTCTTCTTGGTTTTTTTTTTTTTTTTTTTGTGAGCTGGGTCATACAGAACTAAGTCTTATTTTAAACACTCCTGTTAAAAATATATGAGTGCTAATATTTAATTGATGGCCTTCCCAGACTGCACAAGGTCTTGTAGCACAGCTAGTCAGAATGTGGCAGAGCAACTATCACAACTGTCACAAAACAAAAATCATGAATTTTATGGGAACATTGCCTTTGAATGTTCTCTGAACACTCTGAAAGGATTAGTAATATTTAAATAATTTTAGATGAATATCTAAAAAACATTCCATGTACAATGTATAAATAATGTTTTTGATTGCTAACGTTTTGAAAACATTACTAAAGATCAGATCATTTTGAACAAATGTTGTATTATTGTTACTGGAATAACCTTGCCAAAACATTAGCCACAGTTCCGTTAGCTGGGTTGATAAACTGCAGCAAGGCTTCCATGGTTTGCCCTCTCCTCTTAAAAAAATTAGTAAAATGCATGTGGTCCCAACAGGACAAGCATAACGGCACCTTTAAATTTTGTGGAAAATATTCAGGGTGAAACTGAGACACTGAAGCCAAGAAAACTGTCTGCATCACCACAATCCTTTTCCTATTCTATCCTGTATCAGAGATTAATGAATCACAAAGAACAGTCGTACTGTGAAAATGAAAAAGATAAGCTCTAAACACTTCATTGTGCTATTGCACTTACTTTGGCTTGAAGATGCGTGCCTTTACTTGCGGGCCCATGAAGATAAATTAGCCGCTTTTAGATTTATCTAAATAGAAAATGAGATCACAGTGCACCTAAGAAGATGGTACATCCAAACTACAATAATAGGTGCCCATTATTACCGTTATCTGCTTCCAAAACAGTTACAGCCATAACTAAATTAGGGGCATTTATGGTACCTTGCAAAATATAACCCGAAAATATGGAAATGGTCCTATATGTGAAGAAAAATTAAAGATAGATCCTTTAAAGCAGAAGAAAGGGTAAATGTATTATCTGATCTTTATTTCAGTAATTCTTTTAGCAGTGTTGGCAAAACAGAACAGTCTACAGTCTTGCTAGGAACAAAAAAGGAGATATGGGAGAGACTGGAAAGACAAAGAGAGAGAGGAATGGAGAGAGAGCAGGCTGCATACATAAAGAAACCAACCAAATTGAAGATTTGGAACAAGCAGGAGAATAAGACCATATATCCATCACTATACCACAATGTCACGTTTTGATATAAAAAAAGACAAGTAAGAGATGCACACATGGAGAAGCCATATCTTTGGGAAAGGCATGCCACGGAGAGAGGGGTACGTTGTGGATGTTGATTAACTTTGACAGGATAAGAGGTGGAACAGAGCCACCGCATGCACCTGCTTTGGCTAGATTGGGGTGGGTGAAGAATGTGAGAGTTAAGAGTTCACACTGACGGATCCTTGCATAACACAATCTCCAGCTCTGTGCGGAACAGCTTTCCTCCGTCCGACAACGCCATGATGCTCTTCTTTGAGCTAGCCAGGTTTTGAGGTACAACAGCCTAAAGAAGGATACACATAGAAGTCTATACGTATTCAGACCACCATTGCTGAAATGCAGGAATTAGAACAGGATTATGTAAATAAGTACATATTTTAAAATGTATCATTTAATATTTATAGTACCTTTCAAAAATTTGAGTGGTAATATTTTTAAACATTTTTGAAAGATGTCTCTTATGCTGAATTTTCAGCAGTCATTACCCCAGTCTACTGTGTCACAGAAAGCATTCTAATATGCTGGTTTGGTGCTCAAGAAACATTTCCAAATGATTATAAATGTTGAAAGCAGTTGTGCTGCTTAACATTTTTTGGAAACTGCAATACTTTTTTCAGGTGAATAGAAAAGAACAGCATTTTATTTCAAATAAAAATCTTAATACAATTATACAATTTAATACTTAATACAATTATTATTATATATATTTTTTTTAATCTAACCAACCCCAAATATCATTTAAAGTATCTATATTCATAATTTTATATTTAAGACAATTTCATACAATTTTTTCTGCAGTTGTAGCTTCTGTGACAATTTTTGTCAACTGTGCACTGTGCTTAAATTGTGTATAAATTCACTTTTCCATAGTATATATGCCGTTTCAGATGCAGCTTTTCTGCCATAATTTCAATTAAAATAATAATAATTATTATTATTAGAATGCTAAATTTCCACCCAACATCAAGTTACCATTTTATGTTTTTGGTAGAGGTCTCTCAGCAGTGCATCCAGTTCATGTTCATCAATGTAACCATTTCCATCCTGTTTAGGGAAAAAAGGGGGGGGACAGTTTTATATACATTCTAAATCATAAGCATAAGCATATTACTTTCTTCTGCACTTTCTTATTCTTCTACACTGGAAGCCCCTGTCGTCAAGTCAAATTCCTTGTGTGTGTAAACATACTTGGTAATAAAGCTCTTCTGATTCTGATTCTGATTAAAAAGCCATTTTCTAAGAGTCTAATTAACATCTGACATAACACTTTAAAAAATAAACCTTGCAGATGAAAACTGACAAGAAAAAAGACGTCTCCACACTGTATACATGGTATCTGAGAGGATGTATCAGTTATGAATTTGTGGTTGTGTATCATATAGTAGTGCTAAAGTGTTTTTATGGTCATGTGTAGATTACTAACCCACAATACAAGACAAATGAACAAGAACACAAACATAAGAAATATACACATTATCTGACCTTATCATAATAGTTGAAGATTGCTTCAAATTCTTCAGCAGATAGTTTGAAATTCTGGAGAAGAAGAAAAAGAGACATTAGTTTATGTTCAGTGAATGTGTGTGTGTATGTGTGCAAAATATAGTGTAGAGGGTTATAGCAGAATATCAATTTGTTTTCAGATTCAATTTTGAGGGCTTGAATATTCATAACTAGAAAATAATCCTTCTAATCCTTTGGATTACAACAGAACAGTGCAGTGACATATAGCATCATTCCTATACTGTAAAAAAAACTAATAATAAAAAATGTAATGTATACCATTCGTAAACATGCCATGATAATAATAATAATGTGTGACGTAATCATGCCAAATATTGCACATAAAAGTAATTTAGAAAATGGCTTTGTATAATTTATATCAATGGCATTCCAGTAATGACAGTAATAATATTAAATTCATATCTCAATTGCATTGCTTTTTATTCTATGTATTATATTGGTTTACAATTTATAATGAGCATTTTATGCCCCTCAGTGTCGGTTTTACTGTGCCTTCCGATTCCCCTAGTGAATGAACAAATGTTTTCCCAGTATATTATAAAATAAATATAATAAGATTATAAATAATTTAATATTTAGATCATATTTTTTATAATTGCATGCATAACTTATACATACATATATTATATACGTTTTATACTAACTTCCATTAATAACATTAAAAAGCATTTTTACACAACACTTCAGTCTGATGGCATTTATTAATCACATTCAAATAAAAAATAAAGCAAAACATATTTTTATTAAAATGTTTGGCTATAGAATGATACCCTTTTATGAATATTTGAAATCTTTTTCATGACTGAAATGGCAAAGGACATCTTGGTCACCATATTTTAACCCTGATAATGCTTTGAGACTAAACAGAACGTAGACCAGTTCTTCCAGTCTTAACCTATTTTTTGTTGTTTTGTTGAGGAAAAAAAAAGAGAGACAGAGAAAAATAAAGAGAGAGAGCACCCAGTGAATGTGGGGAGACTGGGTCGGATCAGTACATCTCCAGGTTCAAGAATAATCTATGGAGATTATCGCAACTACAGTAGGATTGAAGTAATCCCTATCAACCTGTGCTCTCTGTGGCAGAAATCAGTTACCAATCTGCTGTCAGGTTCAGACACAGACAAACCTTATAAACACACACAAACAAACCTATGTACCCAAATACAGATTCATCGGTTATCATGTGTTTTCTACATGACTTTAGCAGAAAACATGCATCTGATCTGCTGATCTAAAAAAATAATCTCTTGCCATATTACAAATCTTATATTTCTCTTCAGCTCTCACTCTAAGCTACCGTGATTCTACTGTAACTGCAAACAATTGCCAGCTTCCAGTACATCACAGTTTTCAAAACATGAGCTGATTTTATAGCTGAATCGAATTTGTTCATTGTTTATGAATTTTGCAACATCGACAATGTTATTAAACTGAATTGAAGCAACACTAAACTGACTCGTGCTGAATACCAACTCTACTGTCTTAGTGGAGCTGCTTACAGCTGAATAGAACTTGTTTCATAATGAACTTTTTACAGTTATTGAACTGCACTGAACCAACCAATTAC